GCATCATAGCCAGTCACTGTCTGAAACCCAACTTCAACCATGGGTATCTTTGAAGAAGGATGGGACAGTTTTGTGTGGCCACTGTACATGTAAAGCGGGCCTGGGAGAGGTGTGCTCCCACGTAACAGCTTTGCTGTATGCAATAGACTCTGCTGTCAAACATCTGGGAGACAAAAGCTGCACTGATGGGCCCAGACAGTGGGGACTTCCTCCTTTGAAAGCAGGCAAGGCTTTGTACGAAGAAGGGTCAGGAATTGATTTCTCAAATCCTGCCAAAAAGCGTTGTGGTGTAAACAACCAAAGCCATTCAGGTTGTCCTTCTGGGAAAAAAGTGGGTGTGTCTGCAGCAGCTATAGAAGAATTCTACAAGGCTCTGGATAATGCAACTCCAAACCCTTCTGAGAAGAGTGGTATACTACGCATATTGCCGCACTACTGTAAACAGTTTCAACCAAAGGTGGTGTCTCTGGGTCTACCACATCCCCTGACCGAGTTATACAGTGCTCAGAACCGGAAGCTGTCTGCCTCGGACCTTGAGAAGAAATGTGATGCAGTATTTAATGATATGGAAGTCACACCAGAGCAGGTATAGTCATCCCTCTTAATCTCATATGACTAAAATGTGCTTGAAGGTGTCATGTCATTAATTTCATCTTCTATAATTTACAATGTTGTAGGCAGTAAGAGTTGAGGAAGAGACACGACAACAGGGAAAGTCAAGGCTATGGTTTGACATGAGGGCTGGTAGGGTGACGGCATCTAGGTTCAAGTCAGCTGCAAGGACAGACCCTACAAATCCTTCAAAATCCCTAATTAGGCAGATCTGTTACCCTGACCTATGCAGATTTTCTACAGTTGCAACCAGGCATGTGTGACATAATGACACAAACAAAGATGTGCTTTGAACTTATGTTTCAACAATGGAAATGTATACATGTTGTGTTCTAATGTAGAGGGCCCCAGCTTTCTTAAAAAAAAAAAAAAAACATCAAAGAAACAAACACAAGACAAAGAAATGTTTATCATTGGAAAATTTATTGCAGTCAGTATTACAAATTATCAACATTAAATTACAAACATGCATCCCTCAATCTCTTTGAGTGCCCTTACCTATTTTTAATAACTTAAACTTCCAACATGCCAGCTGTGTGGAAAAAAAGACTCACGTCAGTATTGAATTCTCTTTCAGGCTTGAACAAAACATAACACGTACAAATTATGCCAAAATGTCAGTTTTGTTGAGTGTCCTCATAAGATCAGTCTTAAATGATTTAAATAAAGTTTTAAATTAACATAGAGAGTGAAGTGCACACTGCCGCAACAGCTTTTTATAAGCGATGTAAAAAAAATTGTTTTCAAATTAGCGCCAATTCAAGGCACAATAACAAAACAGTGCTGCTACGCACGACCACCATTAAAGGGATAGTTCACTTTGAAATTAATTTTTGATGTGTTTTATCTTACCTCAAGGGCATCCAAGATGTAGGTGTCTTTGTTTCCACAGCATTTTGAACTTTGACATTTTTCGGTCAAACCGTTCTTGTCTGTCAGGCATATAATGGAGGTCTATGGGGTCCACCTCAGAGCATGCACAGAGAAGTCCAAATTAAACATGATTTAATGACTCGTAAATGTAAGTACACATTGATGGACTAAGACCAATCCAATGTCCAACTTGACCGAACTGAACCGTGTCCAACGTTCCGTCGGTAGTGATCGCTTGTGTGTGTACGTCACTCAATGTTTACACATAGATTTTGGACGTTTTACCTTTCACTAAACATATTTAGATATATCGAAATAGTAAAACTTCCGAAATCTCTGTGTAAACAATAAGTGACGTACATGCGCAAGCGATCACTACCGACGGAATGTTGGACACGGTTCAGTTCAGTCCAGTTGGACATTGGATAACTGATTCAGATCACTTGGATGTGGCTGTGGCTACACAAGGTAAAAACGATATAAATATTGTTCGTTTTCTCACACAAACCTCTCGTTTCGTGTCTTAGGCCATCAATGTGTACTTACATTTACGAGTCATTAAATCATGTTTAATTTGGACTTCTCTGTGCATGCTCTTTGAGGTGGTGACCATAGACCTCCATTATATGACTGACAGACAAGAACGGTTTGACCTAAAAATGTCAAAATTGAAAATACTGTGGAAACAAAGACATCTACATCTTGGATGCCCTTGAGGTAAGATAAAACATACCAAAAATTAATTTCAAAGTGAACTATCCCTATAATGCATGCCCGTGCAAACGCGCATTTTACTTTTGCCTTTAAATTAGTGAAATTTATCTTCACTGTCACATCCCTACTCCTAAGGACTGAAGTTTGAAGTCTGAACTTAAAAATAAATTGTGGCACAGGCATATCACTTATTCTCCTCATTTATTCTAAGTGAAATAATTGATCTATTTTTCAGGGGTGAATGTCTGTATACATTTTTAAAATTATATATTTATGGTAGAATCAAATGTTGTTTGTCTTTTGTATTGCCTTATCTACAACACATGAGTGTAATAAGATAAAGGCAGTACAGGAGAGAGACATTTATTTGATTTCAATGAAATCAAAAAGCCAAAATATTGGCATATCGAATATTGGCCAACATCTAATATTGTGCATCCCTATTCCTGTTATATTTAATTCACATATTTGTAAACGACTATGATAGAATAAGAATATGATACAAGAGAATATTATGTGCTATTAAAATTAGGCCAATTTTGGGTACTGACATCTATAGTACTTGTAGTTCTTAGGAAATGAGAGAACAAATCCAATGAAAAGAGCACTCAAAGAGTTACGATGACTTAATAACATTATTTTTCTAATTTACAGATGGGGATGTGAACATGAACAAAAAGCCAGAGAAACGTATGAGGCGTACGCTGCACAACATCATCAAGACCTAAGTGTTCGTGATGCCGGTCTCCACATTGATACCTCCCGTCCCTACCTTGGAGCATCTCCAGATGCCTTGGTGTCCTGCTCCTGCTGTGGCGATGGTATTTTGGAAATCAAGTGCCCACACTGTGCCAAAGACACCGGAGTCCTCAGTGCCACTGAAAAGAAACATTTCTGCATTGAGAACACAGATGGTACACATGCACTTAACAGAGATCATCAATACCACTACCAGGTGCAAGCCCAGTTGTTTGTTACGAGGCGAAAGTTTTGTGACTTCATGGTGTGGTCTACATCTGATTTTTTCATTCAGAGAATTTTTCCTGATGCTGACTTTTTTACAGAAGCAGTGCAGAATGTCGAGTCTTTCTATAGGTCAGCCATTTTATCCGAGTTATTGGCTAAGAAGTATACATGCCCAGATAGACTGCTGTCAGACAAAACACAGTCCACAGACTCACAAGAATTGGAGGAGTAGTAGGGTGTTGTTCAAAACGAAGTGAACAACGAGAATTGTTGGCTCTTTGTAAATTATAGTGTTGTCTAGACCTACTCTATTTGTAAAGTTTTTCGAAATAACTCTTGTTATGATTTGATACTACTAATAAAATTGAATTGAATTATTTAGTAAGATTTGCCCGTGTGTAATTCTACATACATTTAATATCCTTTTATAAGGGACAACAGGACGGTCAAAAGGTTGAGCGCTGGTTTATTTTACAAAAAACATCTTTCAACACGTTTATAAAAGCCAACCTAAATTACATAATGTACACTCATATACAACTTCTTTTATCAATCAATCAAATTTTATTTGTTGAGCGCTTTACATCAACCAAAATGTGCACAAGGCGCTTTCCAGTAAAAACATCAATAAACAACAATATATAAAAACATAAGAGTAGATAAAATAGCAGTTGAAACAGGACGGAAGCTACATATTAAAAGCTTGTCTGAATAGACGTGTTTTCAACTGCGATTTATAATGTTTGTCCTGCATGTTTCAGTTAAATACATGTGAATGTGTTAGGGAACTGACACATGACAATTTTTACTTTTTCCAATATAGGTTCTATGCAACTTATAACTTAACTCATTTCATTTCAGCTGATTTTAATAGATAAGTAAAGAATTGATTGTTAATGTGCTAGTACAACTATTTACACTGGAAATTGTTACTCAAAGTGCTTTCAAAAAACGTAGAAACCTCTCTGTTAAAGAATAACTGGGGTTTTTTTTCAGCTAATCTATTGGCACCACTGAGGGGCACAGATTCGTTAGGGCACAAGCCACTCTAACTATTTTGTCAAGAGAAGTGAACTCCTCTTCTTCTGATGACTTAATCAGAAGACTAATGGGCACAGGTCCATGCAACATTCTGTACAACATTCTGTACCTCTAACGTAAGTTTATGAGCATCAGAGAGAAGCATAGACATTTAAATGCAAAATCTGCGTTGTTTATTTTTTGTATGAGATAACGTTACAGATGACACTGTTAGAGACGGGCGATCAGTGTGAATGGGTAGACTGCACAGCCTTACGCTAGCTGGTAGCACTTGCTCATTAATGTTAAATGACAATTTGACTGGGTCTCCATTTGGACATGGATGACGGTATGGTATTACAAAAAATGAATTACACGTAACTAGGAAATGATTCTTACCTTGTAAAAAATGCTCGCTGCAAATCCTGGAGTACTTGGAGGGCTGCCAGTCCTTTCGTCTGATAGCAGCAATCCATCGATGCCTTCTCTCCCCATCAAATGGAATGCGATAAAAGGATGTATTGGCTTTACCCTGTCTATTTGCACACCCCACGGCACAACACGAAATAACCATTTTATACGAAGAACGAACACAAACACGTACTAGTTTGGCTTGCCGTCCGTCTACAGAATAGCTCTTCCGCCGTCCGTCATGGCGTTCAGAATTCGCGCGAGTAGAGCGTGACGTCACGTGCAAAGGGTCTATACATAGTTCCCACAGGCAAAAAAATTGTCACGTGACCTCCCCGGAGACGCCATCTTTGAGGGCAAAAGCTGCAGTGTTTACCCAGTTTTATTTTACCGTCTGAGTTTTACTAGAGATTTTTACTAAAGTTTTTACTTTTCTGTTTATAATGTAACGCAAATCATGAAGAGGCAAAGTGAAAGAGATTATAAAGAGAATCTATCACCACAAGACAGAGAGAGGTACTATGCGAAAATTTCATTAATAAATGGTGTGGATCCGTATGCGCTAACTAAGGACGCACTGAGCACTGATTATGCAGCTTTGCCTCAGATACAATATTTTCATGTGTACCATTATCTAGTATTGGCTAGGAGTTTTTACACATTTGAGCAATTCCGAGCCTGGAAATCACTCGACGCGTACAATCAGTTTGCCGAGGGTTGGGTTGGTGACGTTCGCTCAAGTGCAATCAATGGAAAAGTCGTCATCATAGCAAAGGTATAGTATGATGCTAGACTATCTGTCTATTAAAAAGCCATACCCTGCACAACTTAATTCCTTCACCTTATAAAACAGTCACCGATGCTTTCTATAATATGCATGTACTTATTTGTACACTGAAGAATAGGGGTGGAACATACATGTATTCGAATTGAAACAAACCGGTGTGGGTGTCATGGACGGTTCTGTGCATGAATATAAAATTATAAAATTTATGAAATATAGCAAATTATTTTTAATGCATTCAGGTACAATTACCAAACATATCTCAAGGTCTTTTGTCATTTATTAAATTAATTATATACAACTATTGTCAATGCACTACAAATAAACTGGTTCTATGCCTTAACCTTTTAAATAAAAAGTTATTTAAATAATACAAGGATCTCAGAACCGAGCTATGAACCGAACGTGACTTCTGTGTGCCGTTCCACACCTACTGAAGAATATTATTAGAATCTGCATATCAATCTATGTACAACAAGCAACTTGTACATCATGCATATAATATATCAATGACATTATATAAACCCATTTGTTTTCATTAACCCAAATAAGTTTTTGAACTAAATAAAAATGTTCTTTGTTTAGGTCAAACATTCCCAAAGTCTCAATGACAAGCCACTGCGTCCCTGGGTCATCTGCGAGCCTGATGGTTCCGTCAACTCTGCCCACTGTACCTGCATGGCCGGGCTTGGCGAGGTGTGCTCACATGTTGGTGCGCTTCTGTTCTACTGTGAGGCTGCTGCTCGACTGAGTGCATCAACAACTTGCACTCAACAAAAAGCAAAATGGGTACTCCCAACCATCAACAAGGTGGACTATGCAGAAATAAGAAACATAGATTTTTCCACACCAGCTACTAAAAAGAAGAGAATTGATAGTACCATTGCTGGAACACAACTGACAACCCGAACAGCTACAAAATTACCAAATGTTCAAATACCTTCAGAGGAAAATATCAGTGCCTTTATGGACAAGCTTCATAATACTGGTGTCAAATCGGTCATTCTTTCTGTTACTGAAAAATATCAAGATAGTTTCATTCCAACAATTTTGCAAGAAGGTAGCCTACCCATTGCCTTGATTACCCTGAAAGAGGATAAATATATTAACATGGACAGGGACTCATTATTAGCTGAAGCACCATCTGTATTTACTAAGCTGGCAGTAACTGATCAGCAAGTGAAAAATACTGAGGAACTAACCCGGCCTCAACATAAAAGCAAGGAGTGGCATGCGCTGAGGTATGGAAGAATCACTGCTAGCAACATGAAGCTAGTCATTAGCGGTAACTGCCAACAGCCAGCTCCCTCAACAGTTGCGGCAATCTGTGAAAAAAGTCACTTCTCAACAGTTGCCACTGATTGGGGAAAAAGTCATGAAGACGAGGCTTATGGCGACTTTGAGAAGTATACCAAAGAAAAACATAACCACTTTAGTCTATGTAAATCTGGACTTTGGATTAACAAGAGCTACCCTTATATTTGTGCTACTCCTGATGGCATCCAGGAGTGCATTTGCTGTGGTAAAGGAATTTTAGAAATAAAATGTCCATATAATGCCAGAGAAAGCACACTTAATGAATCTCAGTTGCCTTTTCTTAATGACGATGGCACTTTGAAGATAACAGACAAATACTTTTATCAAGTTCAGACCCAGCTGCTCGTGACAGAAACTGACTATGGTGATTTTGTCATTTGGACTCCACATGAAATGAGCATTCAGAGGATCACCCCTGATACTGATGTCTTCCAGGAAATACTAAGTAAAGCAGAGGACTATTTTTTGAAAGTGGTGTTGCCAGAAGTCATGGGAAACCTCATTACCAGAGAAATTGAACAGGAGAAATACAGAAAACATCAAGATAAGCCTGATGTTGGGGAAGTGGTATGCCACTGCCAAAAATCCCATGTTGCCACTGACACAGTCATAAAATGTACCAGTAAAATGTGTATGATAACGTGGTTCCATCTACAATGTGTGAAGTTGAAGAGGATACCGAAGGCATACACATGCAAGACATGTAAAGGCAAAGGCAATGCTAAGATCAAGAGTAGTAAGCTCTAGTGACCTTGACTAGTATTCTCATTTGAATTTCACTGCATATTATTTCTCTTGATTGTGTAGTGTTACATTTTTTGGAATATCAGAGGGGACACTCTTCAGAACAATTTATTTACAGAGACAAAATGCAAACGTATATTTCGTCTTGTTTGACAGAAAGTTTGGACATTACATTTACATTAATTTGGTCATTACATATGTTTTGTCATTGGTTTGACATTACATTTGCTCCTTGTTTTACCGTTTGTTCTTTGTTTTCTATTTTGAATTCTGTAAAGTCTTGTGAGATAACTTGTACTATTGGACTACACAAAAAATGAAATTGAATTGAAAAATGGCACTATAACCAGGATTAGCAGAAATGAACAAATATGTAAAGTTGCAAAAATAAAGCGTTATATGCATGGATGCACAATATGCATGGATAACAATGTTCAGTGTTTTTACACACTTAGACAAATAGTTTGTACAAGACATATCTTGTTGCACTGATCTTTCTAGTTTCAGATGTTTAACCTCTTAATTGAAAGGAACAACAGAAACACATAAATTTGACAAGCAACATGCAACACATGCAATTTTGTCAACAACAGGTAGTTCTTCATTTTCATTCATCAAGATGTCAATTGGCAATTTGCTCTGAAGGATGGTGTATTTGTTGCGAACAAGACCAATGACACGTTCTACATGTATGCGTACATGAGCAATTTTTCTTGTCTGTTCAACTTCAAGGGGTGACAGTTGGGATTTTCCTCTTGTGAAACTGGGAATGTTGATTTGAGCGCAATAGAACCCTACACTGTCTGAAATGTCAAAACCCCGGTCAGCAAGAATGAGGTCTCCAGGCAATAGATTTCTGAGCAATCCACAGTTTTCGGTGATGTGCTTGTCACTGGCTCTTCCTCCCCATGCACTGGATAAGAAGGAAACAGAACCTTGCGGCGTTATCCCAACCAGGAACTTGGTTGTATTGCAGTGCTTGTAGGCAGACCATGTTTTTGCCCTTGCCATCAGGTTCTTCGGTCTCTGAATGGGTATTTCGAAGCAGTCGATTATCACTGCAGTTCTCTGTCCAAAGTTTTTGCGGAACTCCATTGGCATGGTCTTTCTTAATTCTTCCCGTGTTGGCCAGCGAATAATGTGTTTCAACCTCACATAAAGAACGTGAATGTACACAAGGAAAATCCTGGAGGCTGTTGATGTTGAAGTCTGGTAACGATAAGCCAAATCTTGAAGAGGTGTGTTTAGCTTCATACGAGACAATGTCATGACTAATCGTTCAAATTTACCCAGATTACTAAGCCTTGCTGGTGGTAAGTATGGCTCGATGTCATCGTAAATCATCTTTAAGACATCAAATGAAGGCAATCCAGTATAGTATGTTACCAAGTCTTGTCTATCAGCTAGTACTTCCTGTGTCATCCTGAATGTTTTTAGTTGTAGTTTGAGCAATATGTTTTCAGACAACAAACGCTGAAATTCACCTTGAACATCAGGTGTCAATGGTTTAAAATGATCTGCATCTGTGCATTTTGGTTTACATGCTGGTGGTTCCATTTTCCCAAGTTTGAGAAAAGAACAGTTGGGTCCTGCAGCAACATCGTTGTCATCTTCTAATTCATTATCGCTTATGGGGGTAGGATTTAGCTCCAAAAGCGCACTTACAGCAGCATGTGTCGCTTTAGATGCTGTCCTCTTTTTTGCCCGTATATATCTAGAAATTAAAACAAATAATAGACACATTTATATATAAACTTATGTACATTTAAATCTAGGGATGCACCGAATATTCGACCACCGAAAAGTTTCGGACGAAAATGGCCCAAAAGTGCATAAACATTTTAGTTTCAATTGTATTTTATGCTGTGCATTGTGCTACATAAATATTTGCATAATTTGTAATTGATTTATTCTTTGAAAATTGAATTATTATATTTTATTAATTTATGCAACTGCAATGCCTTTTTTAGTTTAGTAAAGTTTGTACACAGTCATAGCCATAAATGCAATGACACTAATAATTGCCATAATTTCTTTCGGTTTTCGGCCTTGGTTTATTCTTTTTCGGTTTTGGCCAAAAAGTTTCATTTTGGTGCATCCCTATTTAAATCTACATACCTAAGACAAATGTGTTACTTAAGATATTTTTACAAACAGTTTGACTGCCTATTTATTATGTAAAAGTGATTCAAAATTCTGTGATTATCAGTGTGCTGTTTTGTTTACCTGTTTGTGCAGCCTGTGGTTTGTTTCAAGTTGCTTTCCGATTTCCTTGGTGTCAAACATTCAGCCAACTTAAGGGAAGGTGCCCAATCTGGATTGGTTTGGTCAAATAGGTCTGATGGTTTGCCTACATTAATCAAACGTGTAAATTTCTTAGAATGCACAAAATAAATCATGTCCTAATAATTATATGTTAAATCTACAGTACAGTTTGACATTTTGCATATTTGATGTAATTATGCAGCAAAAATCAACAAGCAATGCTAGCATTTCTCAAGAACTTTATATTTAAAGCCAGTTAAAACTGCATTTCATGCTTTTTAATTATATTAACACTGACAAAATTAACAAATGATTTTTAATGCGCACGGACACCCTGACCCTTATTTAAGTCACAGATCTTTTACACTACAGATACTTTTACAGAAGCTCTTTTTGTGAACATTGTTTTGGCCCACCACAGAACTATTATTATCTATTTAATACATGTGCGTTGCCCACGAGAACCTCGGACGTGACAACACCGATCCCCCTCGTAACAGAGTATGGAACTCAAGTTACCAGCTTACACAAGATAGTAACTTACTGAGTAAATTACGTCTGTCAGTATATTATAAAATACACACCTGACACAAAATGCTCTGAGCAAATCCTTGCGTGTTTTGAGGGTGTTTGTTTCCTGTTTATCCTCGCCAGCCATAACCTTCGTCGTTCTTCTGACAAAAACTTTGTTTTCTCACATTCATGGAGTCTGATGACGGGTATACTGTAAAATCCAAATTTAACAGAACCTCCGGCACGATTTGAACATCCATTGACCCAGCAGGAGAAGACCATTTTCAAGTTTTAGCAGGAAAATCATTTCACTTCGTTTAATTCGTATGGGTTCTTCTAATGTTTTGCCCTCAGCAATGGCGCCGAGTCGGTAAATGCCCGTATGTTGTGACGTCATGTGGGAACTATGTATAGAGGAATGTGAGCTGGCTGAATTAACATAATTTTTATTCATAACTTTCACATCTACTGCAGTCAGATTGACCGTGATCACTCTTAATAACACCATTCACATGGCTGTGCACTTGAAATGACAAACCAAGGATGTTAAAAGGCTAAAAACAGATTTAGAACTTAGAAAAATACTCTTTCCTTTCAATATACAGTACATACTGTCTAGAATATTTTGTACTTGCGCTCTGTCTTTGTAAGATGCTTTCTTCTCTACTTTCACGGTGGGCAGTACTATCTCTAAAGCTGCTTTGGAACGATATTTATTGTGAAAAGTGTTATTACAAATTACAGAACGTTAGAAAAAAAAGGGATAACGCAGTGTAGGCAACACCGATTTTTGTTGTTTTGTCTGTACTGACAGCACTCCAAATGTACAACAACAAAAAAATGAGCTCAATGTTAAAATTGTTCTCCTTTAAGTACTGACACAATTAAAGGTAATTAAGCCTATACAGCTGAAACAAACAAACTCATAATGATGTTACCATGGTAACAAACGAGTGGCGGGAAAAATCAAACAAAGGAAGACGTGATTAATGAAAAATAAAACAAACTGAACATAACTGTGACATTAAGCCACATCCAAAAATGCGCGACTTTGTGTCGCAACAGCAGACAAGGGAGAGAAGGTGGGGGCTTTAGAGGTGGCGAAGGCATAGCAAGAGGATGTGGTGAAGGGATTGTGGCAAGTGGATGACGACAATCCCCTGGTGGTGAAGATGGAGGTATTCCGATGGCACAGACCCAGAGCTCACCAGTCCACAGCCCACGGAGGAGTCAAGGGAGGGAGGAGCCAAGATGTTGGTGTGGCTGCCGACATCTGAGGGACGACCGCAGGAGATGAGGCCGATGGATCCATGGGTGCAGACGGAGGGCTGATGGAACTGAGTGACATCGCTGACACTAGAGACCCAGGCGATGCCGCGGCAACGAGCGTAGGAGGCGGAGCCAGATTACCCGAAGGATGATGTGGAGCCGTTGTGACAGAGGACAGAGGTGATGCCGAAGGGGTGGAACCTGCTGCAGCCATAGGGGTGGACAGCCTGTAAGTTTGTAATGGAAGCAGAGTAACTGACCAAGGGGAAGCCAGTGGGACAAGGGAACCCGGTGGAGCCGCAAGGCGGATGGTCTCTGGTGGAGCCAAAGGTGAGAGGAGCCAAGACGGCCTGACAGGTCTACAGGCCGAAATGGTGCCAAGGGATCAGAGGCTTAAGGTAGAGACGAAGGATCGTCTCGCACTGGCTGAAGTTTGCGGTGATGGTGGTAACATAAAACTTAATCTCATTCCATGTAGTCCTTAATGTTGTCTGGAAGCAGCGATGATTTTACGGATTGTTTGGGCAGGGCTAAAACAGGGCTCGATGACGCACTGGAGCCCAAGAGCTCCTGGATACGCCCCTATTTGATGACGCACAGAGTCTGATCTCTCCCCTAACACACAATAACACTCCCCGAGCACATTCGCATTCACCGCTCAATCGCGAGGGACTGTCAGTACAATTAGTTATTACAGCTGAGCCTACAGTTTTCTACCTAGCTATGCCTTCAACACAGAAATGCATTATAGGCTACTACCTGGATGTGATCATGTACAAAACAGATCGGTATCTTCATTTAAATTCCATAAAAACGATCACATCAAGAAGAGGTTTTTAGAGAACCAACCTTGATGAAGAGCTGAGGATCACCGTCAACACCCGCCTCTGAAATGATCATTTTACACTGGATAGTTTTATAAACTTTCCTCAGAGACAACTGGGATTCACTGATAATCCACTGTTCCTATCTCCCGCCTCAGTGTTCATCCTCCCGTCCCGAAAGCAGTATCAGCTAATATCACTGTCGACAGCTTTCCCGCTAGTGGGCGTGGTTTCAGCACAGCCAGCGGACACACCCCTAGCATTTGAGAACAGAGATAACTGCTCATTTTTTCAAGATTTTGATAGCTTATTTGACAGCGATGGTGAATCAGGTACTGGGAGGGATGGGGTGAGAATCAATACCTCCTTACTGAAGTCTATCAGCCAGTCCTATGTTTCAGTTCCCTCGGCCACTGGTCTTGCAGGTCTGTCTATAAGGTGGTGGTAGTTGTCCCCCGATCCAGAAAAACAACTTCAGGGTCTTGTCATAGAAGGGAGAGGTGATGACAAGATGACAAAACTGTTCGTGTAAGTAAAAAGTAATGGTTCTCTTGAGCCACAGCAGCAAACCTCGTTGCATACATACTGTACACTTGGTGGTCCGGTCATCTGTCACAGGTGCTTGCAGGCAAACAAACTGAACAGATACATCATTAACTTACTATAAAGTAAATGGTTTCCAGATATCATTTCAATAATTTTGGCTTAAGTACAATAATAATATAAAAGTCACTTATTTAAGGTTTTTTTTTTCTTTTCAAGTAACTTAACGCTTACTATACACAGTATAAACAGGATTTTGTATCCATACCAGTGATACAGTATGTAAAATATATAACAACTTTTATATCTTAAGAAAGAGGTCCCTCATAAGGGCACCCTCATAGTTGGTGGTCCCAAGTTTGAAACCCCCTGCATTGGGGCATATGCTTTCCATCCAATTACACAGTACCTGATGGTCAAGTCCTCATATCAAAAATTTTTATCTCTGAGTCTTTTTTTCCATGTTTATTTGTTCAACTAAAGGGTTTCTTTACTGAAAAGATTGCCAAAGACAATGAGGCAGGAATTCCCAGTTGAGCCGTGTCTCTGTTTAGCACCCAGTTGGAGTGCGTGAGAAAACGAATGAGCAGGGTGGTATTGTTCGTTGCCATAATTTCCTTATGTTTGATCCCTCGCCTCTGTTTTAGAATCCCACTGCCCATTTTAACACCATTAGGAGTTACCATAGACAGGCTTTGTTTGGATGCTGGCATCCATACAGATGTGGCTTGTTTCGACATATTCACCCAGCACCTAAAATAGAGTTGTCGTTTCTTTTCTTTTCTTTTTTTGAGGTCATGGGTGGAGTGTGATTTAAAAGTGCCAGTCATTTCTCACTTCCAAAATAGTTTCCATAAGGTTTACATTAAAAGTAAAAACAGAAGGACACAATGAGCACAAATTTGAGTCTATTACTTCATTCAAATTGTTCAATTATTATTAATAAACATGCAGGCTGTATTTTAGTCTAACCCTAAGCAGCACTGCCACAATAAAACACCAGATAGCTGAGTCTGAGAATAGTTTCTTTCCCACAGTCCCACAAAGTGGTGCTTGACTTTTTAATCGAGTATACAATAACAGCAGAACATAATCATTTCGAATTGGTTAAAGGAATTTCTATATGTGGAAGAAGAAATGGGTCGAACGAAGAGGACAGTGAGGGAGGATAAGAAAGAGAAAGATCATATCCACCAACTTCATTCACCACAGAATGGGAGAGTGGAAAACTGTCTTTCCAAACAGGAAGATGTGGTCAGATTAAATGCAGATTACTGAAGTTTCTGTGCCCCCTCAGCAGGAGAAAGGAACACCGGTGTAAACAAAAGATTATCCTCGCATGCAGTCCCTTGGGTTGTTCACCAAACACTATTGGATTGTGAAGTTCTGTTTGCCTACCTACTGTAATGCAAATTTCCAGTTCTTTTACCATATTTAATGTCCAAGATGACATTGATATATACACAATCCTTGTCTAACAGTATCTGCTTGGCTTTGGGCTTACTACTGTTCTTGGAAGTATTTGTTTGATGGATTAAGGGCTCCTAGTGGTTTTCTTTTCTTTTTCTTGGTTTGATTTGGAGCCTTAATTCATTCTCTGTGACATTTGGTCGTGGTGGTGTGACTTTTCTTTTAAAAGGTTTTGGGCTTTTTCTGATTCGGAGAGAGGCTGTAGTGTAACAGACATTATTGGTTTATGTCACTGGAAACCAGAGTTATACATGTGTCGCACAACGTTGTGAGATCAGATCAAGAACGTATGGAGCTCAGCCATGCTTTTGCACAACACATTTTTCACAACCCAGACTCATTAAAACTTAATTCCTTTACAAGATTGATCAGTGTAATTTGGCCTGTTATCAAAAAAGCATAACATTTACAACTGAATATAAATGAGCAATATTACATGAGCACAAAATCTGTTGTTACTATGAGAATGATTGTGATTACAGCGGCATATTATCGCAGGTAATTATAACTGTTGTTATATTCAGACCACTAAGCCTATATTGTGTTATATTGTTTTAGCAATCATTTATGTCCATAAATAAGAATTTAATGAGTGTCATACAATTAATACAGAATAGTATTGCCAGTTATAATGTCTAATTTTGCTCTGCCAAGAAAAATAGTTCCAAATGAAACTTACATTCATGTCATGTTACTGTAACTTCTATTCTGACTTGTAAAAAGTGTTCATTTTCATGAACATGGCCATACGAGTTTTAGAAATAAACACCAGCTGTTAAACACTGTCAAACTGCTACAGATTTTGGGTGCCGTTAACCGCATTTGTGACAGTTATGCACATGTGCACATTAGACTACGCAGTAGACATCTATTCAATGTCTTAACTCACTCACTCACAAAGACAGTAGTCCCTTTCACACAGCAGTCCTGGTTAATCACAATGAAAATACCTTAAAATGCACAAATGTGCTGTTCACACAAGCAACAGCATTCTGTCTTTTTTTCTCAGTAAGACACCATTCACACATCTGTACTTAAATACCGGAAAACTCTCTAATGTCAATCATCCGATATGACCTTTAAAAGCTGAGCTGCTGTCTTCATCCACCATGAAAAAAAGCACTTTTTATTTTTTATTTTTATTTTTTTTTACTTCTGAGGGACATGCATAATGATCACACAGCACTCGTTTCTGCTCTTAAAGGGATAGTTCACTTTGAAATTAATTTTTGATATGTTTTAGATTTAACCTCAAGGGCATCCAAGATGTAGGTGTCTTTGTTTCCACAGTATTTTCAATTTTGACATTTTTCAGTCAAACCGTTGTCGTCTATCGGTCATATAACACAGAGATTTCGGAAGTTTTACCTTTCACTGTGAAGATGTAAACATATTTAGATATACAGGAAATTGCAATGGAAGACGATTTCGAAATATCTAAACATGTTTAGTGAAAGGTAAAACTTCCGAAATCTCTGTGTAAACATTGAGTGACGTACGCGCACAAGCGATCACTTCCGGTGGAACGTTGGATACAGTTCAGTTGGACATTGCACAGTAAAATCTCCAGTGTTGAAATCCTGGTGTTAAGGACTTTTAGAGTAAAGTGTTAATTTTCTGGTGTTGAATTTCAAGGGATTAACACTGCTAGTGTAAACCACACTCTCTGGCTGGTGAAAATATGTGGAGTTATACACCAGAGATGCTTTGAGAACACCGAGAGTGTTACTAGTCACATCCGGGACATTTACGCGCTGGGCGGGACGAAACGAGTTGAAACTTTCTTCACAGGCGCCATGTTCTTTGACTCGAGTCGCAAGACATGCGAGGAGGAAACACGCATTTATTATGCGTTAAATCGCATTTATATATTCATTTTATAACACCATATTGTTTTATAACAATATGTATGTGCTGTGGACGAGCAAACCGCTCTCAGAAGGGGTATTTTCTATGACGCGCGATGCGGAGCAGACCAGGATGGGTTTGCTTTTTAACAGGGAAACAACGAAAGTAAGTGTTTTCTAATTCACATAGCCAATATATTTTATAACACATTGATTCAAAGCGATATTTAAATGTTCTGCGCGATTAAACGGTCGAAATTCTTTTCAAAGACGACATCATCTTTGAAACACGGAGCTGACGAGGAGGAGGCTTGTAGCTAACGTTAACAGGGAAACACCTAAAGTAAGTGTTTTTAACATAATTTACCACATGAATTTCATGGCATTATATTGTTTTGTAACGATATTTATGTGATGTGCGCGCCTAAACCTCTCACAGTCTAGGTCCTGCATCTTCTTTGACTCGTGACCTGCTCGTGACGCATTTCAAAAAGCAGTGCAGAGTGCAGACACGGAGTTTGCTTTTAACAATAAAAACACCGATTAAGTAAGTGTTTAACTCATTTACTATACGTGTTTTATAATAATTTATTGTTTATGACGATATGTGTGATGTGCAAATATCATAAAGGATTTATCCTAAAACTATCTTTTACTCTCGTCTGCTAGCAGACCTAACGTTAACGTATAAAACAGAAGAACAACTCCACAAACTGCGGACCAACAATGCACGTGGAATTTGCACTTTATTTCCTTATTTGGAGGACCAATCTTTTTAGAATGGGTAAGCAAATTGCAATTATTTCAAATTAAATATTGATGCAAAATGTATTTATCAGATTAACTTTTGGTTGATATTTGGAGATGCTTTAATGTTTAAATGTATTGATTTTTACAATTTGTGTTTGCTAGGAGCATTTCTATGATGCACTATGATTTCTATGAAGTGACTAAGGGTACCAGGCTTGGTGTTTAAAGACTGTACAGACTAGAACCTGGTGATGGAAAGAGAACAGATAAGTTAACATATGAGAGAATCATGGGCACAAACAAAAAATAATCATAGCTTGGTTGTTATTTGGTATAGCTAGATTTTCTTTGTTTCATAACACTCATTTTGAATTTGTCCAGTCAAATTTATTTACAAAAGTAAATCTAGTATATATATATATATATATACTTAAAATAAGATTTCGAACCAATGGTTTTCATGATTTGACAAGGAGATGTTTTCTTGCTGTTTAATTTTAGACTCAACTGATTGGAAAATCTCTGCCCATCACCTGCCCCCAACATTACAAAGCCACAAGACGGGAACACCGATCCTTCCGGAATCCGACGGCTGACAATTTTGTGAGATTTCTTAAGGTGCGTGTCTTTATTTTTTCTTAAAGTGTTAGTTCACCCACAAATGGAAATTCTGTTATTAATTACTCACCCTCATGTCTTTCCAAACAAGTGAGACTTTTTCATGTTCACAACACAAACAAACATATTTTTAATGAAATCGGAGAGCTTCCTGTCCCTCCATTGACAATCTACACAACTACCACTTTCAAGCCCCAGACAAAAGTACATCATTAAAGTACTCCATGCAACTCCAGTGGTTTAACATAAATGTTTATTAAACTATGCAAGTGCTGTGTTTACAGCAAAAAACAGATTTACAGCTTAATTTATTAAATATTTATTTCCAACATGCGTTCATGACAAAGTTACAACTCGTGCTTGTTGTTGATGTGCATGTATGTGCATTGAAGATTAATATTTTGTAAATAAAGTTGAGTTAAAATTGTCAAAAAGGTTGAGGTTAAACCACTAGAGTCACATGGATTACTTTTGATTTCCTTTATACCTTTCCGTGGTTTTTGAAGTGGTCGTTGAATAGGCTTTAGATGAATGGACAGAATTCTCTTAGATTTCATTAAAAATATCTTTATTAAAGGGACTGTTCACCCAAAAATGTCAATTCTGTCAGTAATTACTCACCCTCATGTTGTTCCAACCTCGCAAGACTCATTCATCTTCGGAACACAAATTAAGATATTTTTGATTAAATCTGTGAGCTGGATCACTCCTCCATAGGCTTCTAAGGGATCAAAACTTGCTGGCCAGAAAGTCATTAAAGATATTGTTGATTACAGAAGCGCAATCCTAAATCCAATCCAAACGAGAATGCTTTGTGTGCGCAAAAAAACAAACAGAAATTACGACTTTATTCAACTATGCATTTCCTTCTCTGTGGGCCTCGAGATGGGCTTCTCGTAGTGTAACAGCGCAGCGCCTCGGTGTTGTACGTCACACACAGGCTCACTATTGGCTGACGCTGGTCGTGTGTGTGTGTGTGACGTACAACACAGTAGCGCTGCACTGTTACACTGTTAACTTGCTCAGGCCCACACAGAAGAAAATGAATAGTTGATTGTAATATTTTTAATTTTTAGTTTGTTTTTTGCACACAAAAAGTATTCTCGTCACTTGATAAACCTGAGCCACTGTAGTCACTCTGACTATTTTAACAATGTCTTTAATAACTTTTATTGGCTGCCAAGTTTCAATCCCTTAAAAGGCTTTGCAGGAGTGATCCAGCTCTCAGATTTAATCAACAATATCATTCATTTGTCTCCCGAAGATGAAGGAAAGTCTTACCGAGTTGGAACAACACGAGGGTTGAGTAATTAGTGCTAGAATTTTCATTTTTGGGTGAACTATCCCTTTAAGTGTTCCAAGATGAGCAAAACTCTTACTGGTTTGGAACAACAAGGGTGAATAATTAATGACAGAATTACATTTTTTGGATGAA